GGTAACACTAACGTCGCCTCCAGCCCCACCCACGTCGGGTGGCGTGGAAAATCGGACGGCGACGGCATCTCCCTCTTTGGCGCTCGCAAAATCTGGATCGACCATTGCTCGCTCTCCTACTGCGCCGACGGCCTGGTCGACGCCATAATGGGGTCCACAGGGATCACGATCTCGAACAGCTACTTTGCCCACCACGACGAGGTGATGCTTTTGGGCCACGACGATAAGTACTTGCCGGACTCCGGAATGCAGGTGACGATTGCGTTCAACCACTTCGGTGAGGCGCTGGTGCAGCGTATGCCTCGGTGCAGGCGCGGGTACATACACGTGGTGAACAACGACTTCACGCAGTGGGAGATGTATGCTATCGGCGGTAGCGCTAACCCCACCATTAACAGCCAGGGGAATCGGTACACTGCTCCCCAGGACCAAAACGCCAAGGAGGTAAAAATTGTAAATTTCTCTAAAGTTCGGGTCTTTTTTCATTTTTTTACTTCTGGGTCGGCGGGAAACCTGAAAAAGGGTAAAATGATTGTTTCATGATATTGGGAATTGGTTCGTTGGCGGGTCCCACTTGGAATGGTGGCGCGTGGGGGTTGTAATTCACGCGCTTCCAGGTTCGGCTTGTCACTTGGAGCATGCATGTCAAAATGGGAAATGGATTCTAACTATAGCCCACTTGCATGGCGGCGTGTGGGATTTAGAATGTATCACGCGCTTCCAGGTGGGGCTGGTTTTGTTGGATATGAAAATGGGTTTTGGGTAGAAGAGGGTTTTACTGTATATCTTGTCTGTGAAAAATTGTTTTGAAATTGAAAGGACAATGATTATATGATAAAGGAAGGAAGGCCTATGTCATACAGAGAGAGACGGTAGTGGCTGACAGTGAGCATTTGCAGCTGTTAATTTGGCACGACCTGTTGACCGTGATGATAGTACGAAGAGCCCTAATTCATTTATTTAATTTTTGCCGTGTGAACGATTCACAGGTAACAAAGCGCGTGGACACGAATGAGGGGGATTGGTCCGACTGGAATTGGAGGACGGACGGGGACATAATGGTAAATGGCGCGTTTTTCGTGCCCTCAGGGGCAGGAATGAGCACTCAGTATGCAAGGGCCTCAAGCACAGAGCCCAAGTCGGTTGCCCTCATCGACCGCCTCACAAACAACGCCGGTGTCTTTGGTGACCCCAGGTAAAGCAATTTACTCTTTCAACTGTATTACCTGTCACATTAACTGTCGTAATGAGGGCCTTTATGTCTTCCGAATATGAATCTCATCCTAAATGACCAAAATGCCCCTGCTTTGCATATTTGGTTGCTGGCATTTTACATGCATCCTGCTTGCTGGGTTTTGGGTTTGAGAATAATAAAATACAAATAGTGTGAGAAGAGCAAAGAGAGAGTGTGAAAAATGGAGCTAGGTTTTTATGGGGTGCACGTGATCATGGGCAGTGGGAATCTAGCTGCTGACACTGCAGCCTTACAGTTCAGTTGTTCATTGTCTTGGCCAAAGGGCCCAAGGCCATGGTTATTAACTTATTGGGGTTTATTTATTAGTTAAATAATTTTGGGTTTGTTTTAAATTTAAGTATGACCTTGGGATTAGATTTGAAGTATGTCCCCCCACTCTTGATTTTGTTGGCAGTTTTATTCTTTCTAGGTTGCTTGGGGGGTTTTGACCATTTTCACTCCCAAAAGACCGTCTTATTTTAGAACTCCCAAAATGATGCAACTTGCAAGGGACAAAAGGCCAACGGGTGTGAAAAATGATAGCCTACATTTGCAAAACTATTATACTATTTTACAACTACCCTGAATACCAAATCTGCCCACAGTAGGGTAGGGGGGCTAGGTTTGTGGTGAGATAATTAATTACTGTAACATTGCTACCACCAGCCAATGGTGTCCCCATCAGAAGCTTGTGATGTTATGTTATTGGTGAATGTGTCTGTCAAGGGAAAGGTAGAAAAGTTGCAAGTGGGGGCTTTTTGTCTTTGGGTCCACCCCGGGTCATGGATTGGTGCGTCTGCGTTGGGAAGGTGACTCCGTTATGTTCTCCTCATTTTGCTTTTCAGCAAGTAACTGTGGGGTCCTTGTACAATTTTCAGAAGTGAGTGTGGGCCCACTTTTGATTTTTTTTAAATTATTCATTGGCCCACTTCGGATTTGATTTAACCAAAACATGGACAGCTTGCCCATGCGTAGAATTGGCCCAGGTCCTGAGTCTTGACGGTGAGACCTTTCCTTCTTCTTTCTTTTTCTGAACTTGACTGAGAGGTACCTGTTTCTGATCCTTTCTGTTTTAAGTTTGAGTTAATTTAGAGATTTAAAGTCTCTAAAGTATAAATTATATAACTATTCTTTAAGGATTTAAAGGTAATCAAAATGTCACAAACTTATAAGAATTTGGATAGATGATGCAGTTTTTAAAGTTTGGAGATAGAGAAAGAGGGTTGGAGATTTTTTTGGTTATGGTGACAACATAAGAACGGGATCTTGGACTGACCCAAAATTACTGATCAATGAGCCTGAGCCAGCCCAACCCAAGTCCATGAGCCAAGAACTATAGTGAACCAAGGATTGTGGGTTGTGAACCGACCCAAGTTGGGCTTTAGTTGGTGTGATATGTGAGGATTCTTTAGGTCGTTTGGCACCAACTGTTTGTAGAGTTTATTTAGAAATGTGAGGTAAATCTTAACATGGAAATGACAAAGACTTTGATTCAATCTGGTGATTTTGTATGTTCTTATTCGAGTACTTGCTACTAGATAGTGACGAGGTCATCTCATGCATGTCAGTGGAAGTTCTTAAGACTAGGAGATATATTCTCTTTTCAAACCTTGCATTGGCTCTCATGAGCCGGAGCCGGAGCCAGACCAACCCAAGTCCATGAGCCATGAACTATAGTGAACCGACCCAAGTTGGGCTTCAGTTGGTGTGATATGTGGGGATTCTTTATGTTGTTTGGCTCTCATAAAAATTGACAAAGCTGGCACAAGGGTTTCCAGCTGTTTTTACTAGTTCCATAAGAGATTGCTTCTCTTTCTGTCAAATTTTCGTGGATCTTTTTGCTACCTTCTTTACCAATCCTTTATCCCAAAATGGCAAATGCAATTCCAACTATTTGAGAAAAGGTTTGCCAAAATAAGCGAGCTCAACCCACAGGCTCCTCTTATCCCATGTGAGACCAACCCCTTTCCCCAAATTTCCGTTCTCAGATTTGTTTATCACTGAATGCTAAGGACAGTCGTCCTCACGCGCGTGGACAACTCTTCACAATAATCTGTTGTTCATGTCCATGGGGACCTCATGACGTCTTAAAACTTGTTGCAAAGTGTTTTCAGTTACATTTATTTCCGTTCCGTCTATTCTGTTAAACCATATGTCATCATTCATTTCTTGATCTAAATAATTTACTGATTTTGGTTGCTTCAACTATTGTCATGGTATAGGAGCAGTTCGAGCGTATCACACCCCGGAGATGACGGCAGTGGGACCATCACCGATGGCACCAACACTGGAAGTGAAGGGTCCAGCGGCGGTGACGGAGACTATTTTGGAATGATATTTGGGAACGGTGCTCCACCAAGCTCTTCATCATCTTCAAACACAATATTCTTGTCTCTTCTAATTATTTTTATTTTGTACGTTACCATCAACCATGGTGGTGCTCTATTATCATTACCCTTATTATTAACATTATTATAGAATTCAAAGAAAATATCATTATCTGATAAAAAGAGAAAAAAAGGGAAAAATTTCTCAAATGATTTGATTGCTTGGTTGGTCCCCCCACATCCTTTGTTATCTGTATCATTTTAGTTTTTTTTATGGTCCTTCCTTAAGATGAAAGCTTTCATGGGTTTTCATCACTATACGTTTGACTTTGAAGGCTCTCATGTTTTGGCGGTTCAGTTGGATTGAGTTTTGGGTAGGCTAACGTTACGTGGAGATGGCCACAAAAGAAAATAAAAAAAGATGGGATATGATTGGCTGAGATGGCATGTCAAATTCAGGGGATTTATTTGTTTTTGGCTTCAACCATTTTCGTTGAATTTGAGTGCTTTTCATTGAGTAATAATAATGTAGTTAACATGGCATGTCTCCATGTCTTGGAAAATTGCCAAAAGACAATGGGATTTGTAGTGCCCTTCGAATCTTTTATCTTAGGCGCCCCACTTTCTTCTTTTATGCTAAAGTATAACGTGCTTGTTTGAGTCCGTTCGTTCCCTTGTGTGCTAGTATAACAAGGAAACAGAAAGCATATGCATGTCTTGTCAGCTGTATCTGTAAATGATAAGAATTTCACGTGTACATGGGAAAGGGTGAATTCAAGTTAAGAGGAAAGCTAGGGAACTCTGCGGAAGATCAGTGTCCCCATTGTGGGACCAATACCAATCGACATAGTCAGACGGATGCCAACCAACGGTTGATAGTAAGCTATACCACGTCGACTGTTCCTAGCAAGACTCAAATTAGAAGCCATGATGGTTTGGAGCTTCAAGCTTTAGGAGTAGAGCAACCTATACGCATGTAGACGAATGTTTCCAGCAAGAATCAAATTAAAAGCCGTGATGGTTTGGAGTTTCAAGCCCTGGGACTGGGAGTAGAGCACTTCTTCCTCGCATGCACGACAACAGTTCCCTTCTTGTTTTCCCATTCCTTTCCTCTACACCAAAAATAAAAGACCAAAATGGTGAATTTTGTACTACATAATAACATAAAGGATCATTATATAAACAAGTTTCTGGTGACGGATTAGTACCTCTTGAGCTTTGTGCTTTTCACAACCTTCCCTGAAAGCTACAGCATTTTATGGTTTAACCGGATTGATTAATCGATGACAAATTCGAGCCAAAGACACGTATAAGCTTGTCAAGGAACAAGATAACACCAAGTAGTTTGATGAGGAAAATGAACACAACCTAAAGTGAAAAGTAGATACGAAATGAAGTATGCACATAACTTTTCCCGGTTGGGAAAGAAGGGGAAACAATGGCAAAATCTTCGCAAGCATTCACAATCTTCCATGACATTCATTACACCTTGTTACAACGTTTATATTTTACTCCTTTCCAAGTTATTTCATAGCCTTGGTAGGACTTCAACATTGAAACAAGTTTGAAAAAAAAAAAAGGAACAAAAAAAAAAAGCCATTTAAGTGAAAACTTTGAGTTGTTTGTGTCCTATATTTAATTAACTAACCAATACCATATCCTCTCCCCCTGCAGTTGCCGCCACTGCTTCTATTCTCTTCCAAGTCAATTCTCGCTGCTCTTCCATTTCTCTGGCCCTTGTTTCTTTTTCTAAATATTGTTCCTGACACTCTTCAAACAATTCTGGGTCCATTTCCTGGAACATCCGTCGCACATTGGCTGTCAGCCCATGGATAGCCTGGTTCCAGTGACCTTGCGTGTTTTTCTCCAATGCTTCAAAGATTAATGGCAATATCACGTTCCGGTTCTGAGCAATTAAACTTACAATGTGTTCACTGTTCCACAAGTAAAGAGCTCGTTCGGCAACCTGCCAAGCATCTTTATATTAGAAACACTTTTCAAATAGAATAGTTATACAACTAGAGAAAGAAAAAAAAAAGTATGTTATAACATTTTGGGAAATCCCCAACACACATTTTCATTGAGCTTTCTTAGTCATAGATAAGAAGATATTTTGTTACGTGATGGCAAGGAAGAGGCATGTACCAATTGACTCCAACACAATAAGCAGCAATACAGCAACACCATAACTTATCCTTTAAAGAGGGTAGACAAATGTGAAAACTAGAGACATTGCCTAGCTTTGTTCAGCTAAACAGTGTTCCTTTTCTCAGACCGAGAAAAGAGCAACTGCGTAGCTTAAATAATAATAAAAACATGAATTTCATGGTTAAACTGTGGCCTGTCTAAGCATATGTATTTGCTGGCTAACCTGCGCCTAACCCTCTCTGCGAGCAAGAGCTCAGATTCAAACAAAAGTATTGTAATCAATGACGTGCGGGCAAAAATGACAGCTCACACAACCTTATTGTGTTTCTGTTGGACTTCAATATAGAGGCAAACTAAAGAGATGATTTAAAAATAAAATAAAAACAAACTAGCCATATGGAGAGACAACTAAGAATATAAGACTGCTTCAAAGAACTTACCAAACTTACTAACAATAGCATGTTTATAACCTATTATCAGGTAGTTCTTGTATGGATCATATCAACCACCATCAGAAGGGGACCAAGTGAAATTAATGTCTACCACAGCCAGAAAATTACACACAATAACTATGGAGACTCCTGAAATCTATTGTTTGAAAGAGTGGCACATGAGTATCCTACGCAATTTCAACACTTTCAACAGAAATGCTTACACGTCAAGCATTCAGACCAACTTTGAATGACACATAAGTCAAAGGTACGAGCTACAGTATTAGCTATATATTCTTTACAAAATCACATTTTGATGGATTCGTTCTCATAAAGTTTAAGTAGTCTCACAGAAACAGTGGAAGGGGGAAAGAAACGTCCAAGTGATGGTAATACTGTACATTAAACAGGTCCAACAACTTATTATCTATTTCATAACTAATGCCATAGTTTTATCATATAATTTACTTTTCGGAAAAAAATCACACTGAAAAATGCATAAACAATCTAATTGTAACTACCAGGCTACTCATATAAAAAACAGTCTTTCGAATTCACCTGAAAATGAGGGCTATTAAGGCAGCGCCCAATCTGTCTAAAAAGCGGAAGCATACATCTGTGAAACTCAGCAGCCTGCGTAGCTTCCAAAACCTCTTCTAACTCTGCAAGAAACAGAACCTCCTTCTGACAATTGGTGACCGGCCAATACTTCAACAACCCCTTGACCACCAATTCGGCCAACTTATAATCCTTGTCAACAAACTGTATGATACAATAGGCTAACTGGTGATGATACGCGGATATGCACTTGGGTTTGTGCAGAGGAATAAGTGCTCTCACAAGGAACAGCTTATGCTCCTCTTTCATGGGCAAAGCAAAGCCATTTATTATACTTCCTAGAATCTCTAACAACTCTCCAATCCCACAATGCCTCTGTGTCTCAAATATAAACCTATAAAACACATTATTCATGGCCTTCCTGATAAAGGGTCTGTGAACCATAAACTTCCCATAAATTCTATGCAAAAGGGTTTTCAAATACTCGCGTTCCCGAGGGTCCTCAGAATCAAACAACTCCATTAACCTCAACACAAAGATGTGATCAATGTAACGTTTAGCGACTTTAGCATCGGTTTCTGGTGAGGCAATGTACCTTAACAAGAGTTCATAGACGATTTGCAGGTGAGGCCATGAGGGCTCCTGATAGGGCTCGTCCTCGTCGGGTTCGAGCAAGTCCGAGGCCGGAGGCAAGCATCGGAAGATGTTGAGTGACACCATGCGAATGAGCTCCTCTTGCATTGGACCGGTGAGCTTGCACGAACTGGAGTCGATGAAGTCCACGAGCTCCATGAGGGTTTGGCGCTTGAGCTCTTTCTCGAGAACCCATTTGAGAGAGTTGGAGAAGTCGCAGTAGAAGGAGCAGAGTTGGAGCTTTTTGAGGAAAAGGGCCGGGCGGTCCAAAACAGCGACGTCTCGGAGAAGAGGAAGGGGTTCCATGGAGAGGGATAGTGTGATGGGTTGTGACTCGGGTTCGAACTCGAGATCGGTGGGTTCGGGTTTTGGGGATTTGCGGTGGCCGCGTTTTATGATTTTGAGCATTTTTTTTTTTTTAAAATTGGTTTTTTTTGGGTTTAAAGGAGTATTGGGGAGAGATAAGGACGACCTAGGAAACTGAAAAAGAGAGGAAAATTAGGGTTTGTGGATGGGGATAAGGAGGGATTTGGGGGAAGAGATATTGGGATGAGGAGATCATTTGGTGTTTGGGAGATGAGAAAATTTGCAGAGTGATGGGAAAGTTTGTGGGAGTGGGAAATTGAGAGGCCACCCCTTGCTTGGAACTGAGGGAGTAGTACGATTGACCATAAATGGAAACTTTTTGATTTTCTGTTAAAAGATCTCTTTTTCATTTGGACAATTTGCTAAAATATCACCTTTTAGTGCCTCCCGCTTTCCCTTCTCCCTCACTTGAAATTGAGCATACAACGAAGTAGGCTACAAGTGTAAAATCGATCAAAATTTTTTTTTGGGTCAACAAAGATATCATAAGAGCCAACCAGCAAAGGCCCAAAGGGGAGCCAAACCCAACCAAACAAACAGAACAGACACACTAAATCAAAGAACTAAAATCAAGCCAAAATAGCAAAACAAAAGAAGAGCCACACAACAAAAGATTAATTTGAATTAGCATTTTGTAGTGAATTTAGGTTTGGCAGGAGCATCATGATTCAATTTTCGGAAGCAATTTTATTTTGAGAAAAGCTTGTTCCATAACATCATCTGTTTCATGCTAAGGCTTGAATGTTGACAAAAAGATGCATACCAAATATCAACCATTGTCAATAGATACAGGGGTTTAATAAGTTACGATCCTTATAGCTGTGCGAAAGACAAAGCAATATCTACACCATTTAAGTTAAAAACACTACTTTTTTTGAAGAGTGATCTGATCACCACCCTCCTTTGCCACTTCCACCATCAGATCCCTTGCCCCAAGAGCTTGCGGGTGCTACGGCTTTGCCCCAGGAATTAGTCGGTTTTGCACCTTCATCGGTTCCTTGTTTTGCCTCACCACCATCAGATCCGTTGCCCCAAGAGCATGCTGCTGCTGCTTTGCCCCATGAATTGGTTGGTACTGCACCTTGATCGGTTCCTTGTTTTGCCTCACCTGATTGATTCCAACCAGAGGACTGAGCCCCACTTGAAGTGCTTGATTGCTTCCAGTCGGATGATTTACCTCCTCCAGCAGCACTTGGTTGGCCTCCAGTACCGCCTCCAAATCCTGAACCTGTTCCTTTGTTCCAACCTGAACCCTGGTTGCCCCAGCCCCCAGCTTGTGTGCTTGAGCTTGGTCCCTTGTTCCAGCCACCATCTTGATCAGTGGTTCCTTTGACTTCTTTGGCTGCAGTCGATTGTTTCCAGCTTGACAACTGGTCCACATTACAAGCATCTGATGATTTCCAATTGTTTGCCCAGCTTCCGCTCGCTTCATTACGAGAGCCTGTTCCTTTGTCCTGAGTGGCAGCAGTATCTTTAGCCTCCACTGTCTGATTCCAACCTGATCCTGAACCGCCAATTCCTTTATTCACATCAGACTGGTTCCAACCAGAGCTCTGGCTAATCCATCCGCTAGATTTCCCACCCTGCCAATCGTTCTTACTGCCACCTCCTTGGTTCCAACTTCCTCCACCATTGTCTTTTTTCCATCCCTCGCCAGCACCATCTGCCCCTTTGCTCCAGCCTGATGAATTATTATCAAAAGAATCATTTCTATTGCTCCAACCACCACTTTGATCCCTCCCACGCCCTCTTCCTCCGTAGCCTGTACCACCAAACCCTCCTCCATCTGATCCATCTGTACCACCAAACCCTCCTCCGTCTGATCCACCTGTACCACCAAACCCTCCTCCGTCTGATCCTCCTCTACCACCAAACCCTCCTCTGTCTGATCTACCCCTACCACCAAAGCTCCCTCTGTCTCCACCTCTACCACCAAAACCCCCTCTACGTCCAAAGCCCCCTCTATCTCCCTCTCTCTCACCACCTCCACATCCAAAACCCCGTCCACCTCTAAAACCTCCTCTGTCTGAATTTCCTCTACCTGAACCACCTCTCCAATTTCCACCACTTCGATTATTATTGAAATCTTCAGGTTGGTCTCCATTCCCACCATCTATTGATTGACTGCCACCAAAAGAATTTGCTGAATTCCAATTGCTTTTACTGCTCCAATTAGAATTCTGATCTGCATCACCAGATCCTGAGTTCCAACTATTTTTCCTTCCCCAGCCAGAATCTTTATTGCCGCCAGTGTCACCAGATCCGGAGTTCCAGTTGCTTTTCTTGCCCCAAGTAGAATCCTGGTTCCCACCTGAGGAATCAGATCCAATGTTCCAATCTCTTTTCCCACCACTACTAGAATCCTGATTGCCACCAGCCTCACTAGATCTGGAGTTCCAACTGCCCTTTTGGCCCCAGCTAGAAACTTGATTTCCTCCATCACTTGACCCACTTTGCCAAGCTTTAGTTTGACCCCATCCTGACATTTGGTCTCTGTCAGAAGATTTTGGAGCATTCCAATCACCA